AAAAATATTTATGGTTCAATTAGTCACATCTAATAAGATTAATCGTCTAAAACTCTGTGGTTCATTCCTGAGATTGTACTATTACGTATATTAATACTGACATTCGTAATAAAATAATATTATTAATTTACATTCCTATTAAAAATCCCAAAATGGACAGGTGGATACATTTATAGATAATTTGCTGTATATATAGATAGGAAATTGTGCAGTTAAACAGACAGACAGGAATATTGGTAGGTACACTGTAAAAAATTTGGAGTAGGATTTACTTGAAAAAACCTTGCTAAACGATCTCACTCAGAAAATGCTAGTAAATTTACAAAGATTTGCCAAGTAAAAACCTAAACATATTTATCAGTAGCTTTAATTAGAAATCTTTAAGTTAAATTTACTTGGAATGTGGAATTAAGTAAACTTTACAAAAAATAAGAAATTTTAACGGCTTGTAAAATTAATACCGATTTCCTTTGCCTTTGTATTACACTTCACTAAAACAGAATTGTATTAGTCATTTATAGTATGTTCTTTACTTAGATCATCTAAGTAATTTATATATACATCATGTCACACTTTAAGCCTTATGTGAATGCAAACACCTCAATACTTGGTAGACAATACACAATGGTGGTAACATTTGATGGATCGTTTTTTGTGTTTGAATGTGTCGTTTTAAGCAAAAAATTTACTCGAAATGTCACAAAATGGCAATTTACAAATACTGAAAACAAAAATCAATGATAAAACAGTGTAAATACAGCTGGAAACCAGTGAAAAATTAACCTCATTAATTATTCAAGGTCCAGTGCATAATGGGAACCCCAGTATCAGAAAAGTTGAGTAATTTTATTGAGTTGATATTACTCTTTCATTTATACTCGCTTGAAATAAGTACTGATATGGAATTTACTTAGTTTTTTAAATTCTTGCCTGAACTAACTTTTTCAAGTAAATTACATTGGGTTTTTTCACTAGTATTTACTTAACCAAAAAATAATTTTTTACAGTGTATGTAGAAATTGTGGGATGGATAGGCATTGATGCGTTCTCCATTATTGTTTCCCTGTAATTGATCGCCTGTCCTAGATTCTTCCACCAATCCTGTTATTCCTCCTCACTCCATGGCTCTCTCTCTCTTCATCAAATCTCCTGTCCCTCTCTCTGGGGAGGATGGTAGTCCTGTGAAAGGGGGGAAGTATCATCAGGCTGAGCCCGAGGAGAGGGAGGCAGGATCTGCTCTGAGCCCTGAGGCCTCTCTTCTCCTCCACTGCCTGTAATGAATGGAAAGACTGACCTGGTTGTGCTGCAGCCTGTGCTCATATTGACCCGGTTCTCCTCCACACCATCGTGCATCATCTCACCACTGTGGTGTTAGAGCAGCCCCGGGGCCCTTCTTTAACCAGCCCTCCCTCCCACAGTGTGCTGCTCTCGCAGAAATCCACAATGTCACTGCATCTTAATCATAGTCATGAAAGGCCCCTGCAGCCCAATGGCTGACCAAATAAACCTCTCCAGACATCACAACAAAGCTTTCCAGTGCAGGTCTGGTTGAATAAAGGTCAGATGCATTGAATGGACATTTTTTGACTCGAAATGGACCGTTTCGTATTTGGATGGACATGGGTAATTGGTCATTCGTTCGTGAGCAAAGATTTGTCCTGCATTTGACAATCCGAAGCTCTGTCTGTTTTATATTCTGAACCGTTAATGGCCTCTGCAATTGAATGTTTTATTTTAGCCCATAATGAGGACTTTATAAACATTAAATATCCGCTTCTAATCAACAGACACTGGAGGCAAATCTTGAAATGACCTTATAGTCTCTTTAATGAATCCGTATTGAGCAAGTGTTGCACGCTTTGTCTGTCTCGTTCTTTTATGCGAGTGTTTCTCAGTAAATAATTACCGTGTTAGGTGACCTGATTATTATTCCTCTGCATATTCAATTATTTTTAGTATGTGCAGGACAGCTAGTGGCTATGCTGTTATGTAATGATCCTTTGCTGTGCAGAAAAATCATCCTCTCTATGCCAAACGCCGGACTGTCCCTGGGGCAGTGGACTTCTCCTCCAATTCAGCTAATACAGGAGGAACAGCGTGGAGAATGCTTGTTGGGGTGGGTGTGGTGGTGCAACCTGTTCTCATCCCAAGGCATCATATAGTGACGCTTTTGACAATTCGTATATATCCAACGCACATGGCACCCTTTAGCGTCAATATGAGACGCAGATATATATGGGCCAGAAGGTGCCTCCTAGTGGTCTAACCCTAACACTACCCCAGACCTAAACCTACCCATAACCGAAACATGTTATATTGATGCTAATGGTTATGCTAATGGGTGCCATGTGCATCGGATGTATATAAGCATTGGCAAAAGCGTCACTGTATGACGCCCTAGGATGAGAATGTGTTAGGTGGTGGGGGTAGTTGGGCAGCTAAAATTCCTCCTGATGTACTCTGTCCGGACGATTGTGCGTGAATTTAACATGAATTAGTGTCTAATTACGGTCAACTGGCTTTCACGCAAAATGTCTGCAGTTATATTGGTGTCTGTTATATGGCCTTTGCGGGTAGTAGTGCACATGCTCTAAAGAGTTTCACAGTGAGAGGCGACGAAAAAACAAAAAAAAACAACAAAAAAAAAACTGTGCAATGAAAATTAACGCTTTCGTCATTTTTGTGATAATGTGATTATCTTTTTGTGCAAATTACATGCCCCACGTCTAGACGCTGTCTCCTGGACTAATTGTATTTTGTTGATTCTACATTTATTCAGGGTTTAAAATAAATGCGTACATAGACACTACTTAGCGAAAGTCTGGGGTCGGAAAGATTTTATGATTACCAGGGCTAAAAAAAAACTGTACTTTAAAATAACTGTTTTCTATTTTAGTATATCTTAAAATTAGAGCCCAACCGATAAATCGGCGGGCCGATATTATCTGCTGATATTAGCCATTTTCCTAACTATCAGTATTGGCATTTATAATGGCTGATAAATGAATATTTAAAACAGAAAAAAATGTGGGTGCGGTGATGTAAGGGTGGCAATGCCAATAAAGCACATAAAAGCAGTCACAAAGAACTGGCAAAAGTAATGATTATGAATACATCAAATATAGCAAGGAGAAATTTTAATTGTATTTTCAGTCAGTGTCGCTGCAAAGGTCTATACACTGAGTTTTGGTTCATTTATGAGACGAGTTTCAGATCACGCGCCTACCCCTCAAAAGTTTGTTCACACCAATATGAATGTGTGTCCAAACTTTTGACTGGTACTGTACTATAATACACATACATAAAATAGCTACTGTATTATACTGTACACTTAAATAATATCGGCCGATATATCGGTATCTGGTATTTTTATCGGTATCGGCCCCAAAAAAATCTGTATCGGTCGGGGCTCTATTTGAAATTCCATTTATTCCTGTGATGCATGGTGGACTTTTCAGCATCATACTTCAGATGTAATCCTTCAGAAATCATTCTAATATGCTGATTTGCTGCTCAATAAACATTTCTTCTTATTATTTTTTATTGCAATCAAAGTTTAAGACAGTTTTGCGCGAACCATGATACTTTTTCCCAGAACATTTTAGGAAAAAAAAAAAAAATGGTACTGTATGTATAATTAAATTAGGCACAGCTAATGTGATTAATCATTGTTAATCATTTAAAACTGTGCAGTTCATTAGTGAGAATTTATTATTATATTCACATTCCAAATAGCATTACTCATTTGCATTCCTAGTGAAAGTATTTTAACATTGAAAGCACCTTAAAAAAGTGGCAGAACTCATCTGTCTTTGATAGTTTTGGGCTAGGGTGGCATCTCAGTCAGTGTGCATTGGGTTTAAAATAGATAAGTGCTGGTGTTTTTGTGTGTGAGCGTGTGATACTATCGGGCCGAGCTGTGTTCGGTTCCCTGTTTCTCTCGGCACATCCAGGCATCTGTGATTATCCTCTCACGGCCACAGAGGGAGCTTTTCTCACTCTGTCTGCGATAATGAGGAAGAGACTTGCAATGCCCTCAAGTCATTTCCTTTCTCCTCCCCCTTCTCCTCTGTTTCACTCTATCACTCATTCTTCACCGGCATCATGACTTCACTCCTCTACACGTCTCAGTTCCTGCTCTACTATTTTATCTGTGATTATGGCTGTGATGACAGCTTCTTTTTTTTGTTTTTGTTTTTTTTGTTTAGATGGTTCTCCTATGTTTTCTTCATGAACAAGCCATGCAGCCAAAGTTGCTGTGGAAAGAGATTTTGTTTGTCTGTAATTCACAGACAGGATTAATTCGTTTGGCAATGACTGAATGATATGCTGTTTACTTTGCTGTTTATCAGACTCAAAACACTTCTGTTTAGCTGTGCATTTACTGAATGAGCACTGTGCCACTGTTCGTTTACTGTACTGTACTTTATTTTATTTTTTTGATTTGTTTTGATTATTTTAATTTCTTCTATGTGAAGCACTTTGAATTAATTACCAATGTGTATGAAATGTGCTATATAAATAAACTTGCCTTGCCTTACTTTATAATATCTAGAAATAAACATGTTCACATTTTCTCGGCTGTGTGAAATCTGTGGAGTTCTTCAGAATGGTAAAATTTGTTGCATATGGCTGAGTACCACATTATGTTTGGTGGCTGAGGCATAATCAAATTATCCAAAATATTTAATAACTGAGCGCACACAGAGTTTATAATGTTTTGAGTAATGGATGTTATAATTCTACGCAATTCTGCAAAGCTTTGTGATTCCACATGGGCCTGGATTTATGATGCTGCAGTGCTGTTAAAACTGCTTTAATCAGTGAGATTCTCTTGCGGAAAGCTTCTTTGGATAAGATTTGCTGGCAAACAACATGACTATGTTGGTCCACTTGCTGGACCAGCACAAAACCAGCAACAACCTGCAATTCATGTTGGTCGTTTTGGGAGGGAATTTAGGTTTTGAAATCTATTGATTTGTGTTGTCTTCTGTTAACAGGTTAAGGACTGTACAGCTGTTGAGACCTCCACCTTGTGGACTGATCTGATCATCGGGCTGCAGCAGATGTCATGGATCTGAAGGAGCGCAGGCACCGTACACTGACCCACGGCCGCTGTGGGAAAGATTTCCAGTTCACCACCTCCTCCCTTGACAACGACGAATGTCGCGTACCCACCCAGAAATCATACAGCTCTAGTGAGACCCTGAAAGCTTTCGATCACGACTCGCGCCTTCATTATGGAGGATGTGTGGCGGACCTGGTTCACCATGAAGCAGATGAGTTCACCAGACAAGGAGGTAAATACACAAGAGAGATACCACAAACTATAGAGATAACCACACATACAGCACAAATGCAACTCAGAATTACTAAAGATAAAGCGTTCAGTGCTTAATGATCATATTACATGCATTTGACAGTGTTGGAATATTGCATATTTGATCTTGTAGGACAATAGAAATGTGTTTTAAAAAAATGCATCCTTGTTTGATACTCTATAATTCACGGTAAAAACATGTATAATGTTACAGAAGATTTTTTTTTAAATAAATGCCATTATTTTGACCTTTTTAATAAAATAAAATATAAAAATAATCATGAAAAAGAACACCAAATCAGCATATTAGAAGGATCATGTGACACTGAAGATTAACAATGAAAATTCACCTTTGCCATCATAAAATTAAAGCAAAAATTACATTTCAAGACAGAAAGGGTAACACTTTATTTTACAGTGTCCGTTACATAGACTTACTGTTGTAATAACAGTATATTATGCCTAATTACATGGATCTAACCCTAACGCAATTATATAGATCTAATTATACACATTGATAATTAATTTTACTCAAAATGTAAATGTATAGTTGTATGTAGTTGTATAGTAAATGTATAATTAAAATCTTTATTGTAATATTGTATTTAGAAATAGTTCAATATATATTTTAAAGGTTGTATCAGCGGTTTCAGGCCCAAAAAGATCAAAACATAAATGATCACATTCATCTAATCTATCCTAACGATCTACTAGATTAAGCAGTCAACAGTTTCTGTTGGCAGCCTAGTGTCTGAGATCTGCACGCAAAAGCAATTGGTTTCACCAACCAATCAAAACCAAAACAAATTGCGATCCACCCAATCACTGACAAATTAAGCGTATGTCACTTGACAGTGACAAAATGGTGGATGTAGTACGTAGTCTGAATTTATTCATACTACACACATTCATGGTACTTTTTTAACTGTCACGAGGTAAGTTTTAAACCAAATATAGTTCCTACTATATAGTAAGCAAATTCAAACGTAGGCAAAGTGTGATGATGTTACTGGTCTGTTACTACTCCTAATCGTTGGAACTCACTTCTCTATCTACTTTTAAGACCCAGTTAAAAACATGCACTGCAATAAGAATCCAGTGACACACAATTTGTCTGTCCACACAACACGTGATGCAACAAAATCAACCAAAAATCACAGCCAATCAAAAGAGTGTTTGGGCTGACCTCTCTCTTTGTTCACCAAAGTGACCTAATTCATAAATATTACACCATTTTTGCATAGAGAGTGACTGAAACAATTTTTGTCATAGGATACACTTGTTTGTTCACATTGAGTTCACATTTTGAACGTTCTATCTTTTCATTTATTCAGATCTGAGGTGAGTTATCCATTGTCGCTTTCAGTTTGTCTATAAAAGTTAGGCAAAATGATATTCAAAATCACATTCAATTATTTTAACATTAAATAAAGGACAAGATCATTACCTGAGATTATCATTGTCATACGTTGTATGTTGTACCAGTCACAATGTCACAGAAACTAATAGAATTAGTTTTAAAATAGAATCTCGCCACTCGTCATGTATCGGATATGTTGCGGCTGGATAGGACGCAAACTCTGATTAACATGGAAAAGATGCCTTTTATCCCATGTAACAGCTTCACATCACATTTGGCCAGGACTTGGTTTTAAATTTAGATGTATCAGAAATAATTTTGAAATCAGATCTTAAAGGATTAGTTCACTTTTGAAAAAAACTTTTGCTGATAATTTACTCACCCCCATGTCATCCAAGATGTCCATGTCTTTCTTTCCTCAGTGGAAAAGAAATTAAGGTTTTTGATGAAAACATTCCAGGATTTTTCTCCATATAATGGTCTTACATGGGAACCAGACGGTCCAAGGTCCAAAAGACAGTTAATAACAATTTCAGATGCAGCTTCAAATGTCTTTAAACAACACCAGACGATGAATAAGGGTATTATCAGTCCGTTCTCATCCTTTAACGTCATATAGAACGCTATATGACAAAACGGCGCTATACTACGCACATGGCACCCTTTATCGTTAATATAACACGCGAACCCAAGACGTTATAAATCCTTTAGCGTGAATATGACACGCACACCCTACCCCACACCTAAACTTAGCCCTCACAGAGCGTGTTATATTAACGATAACGGGTGCTATGTGCGTAGTATAGCGCCGTTTTGTCATATAGCGTTCTATATGACGTTAAAGGATGAGAATGCGTTGGTATTATCATGCGAAACGATCGGTTATTTCAAAACTTATTCCAAAAATGTTACTTTTCTAAGGACAAATTACGTCACGTAATACATAATTACGTTCAACTTGTAAACACTGACTCTGTACTTCCGGCTACGTCGCCCGTGACCTTTTAAACGTAAGTACGTATTACGTGACGTTACAAACGCGCCTCACAGAATAGAGCAAGGCTAGCATTTGTCCTTAGAAAAGTTAAATTTTTGGAATAAGTTTTGAAATAACCGATCGTTTCGCATGATAAGACCCTTATTCATCGTCTGGTGTCGTTTAAAGACATTTGAAGCTGCATCTGAAACTGTTATTCAAGGTCTTTTGGACCTTGGACCGTCTGGTTCCCATGTAAGTCATTATATGGAGAAAAATCCTGGAATGTTTTTCATCAAAAACCTTAATTTCTTTTCGACTGAGGAAAGAAAGACATGGACATCTTGGATGACATGGGGGTGAGTAAATTATCAGCAAAAGTTTTTTTTTTTTTTTTTTTTTTTTTTTCAAAAGTGAACTAATCCTTTAATTCCTTTTAGATTTTCATACCTAGTTGGGGACTAACAACACTTTCTCCCTTCTTTTTTTAATAGTATTGTAGGTACAATTTTAGGGTGACATTAATTTGATTTAGATGATTTTGGATCAACAAAAATAAAATCTCATTGTGTCTATATGGCATATCTGTGATTCTACTGTACATGATGTGTTGTACAGAGAAGGGTTGAAGCATAAAAAGCAGAATAGTTCAGTTAACAGATCAACTCTGTCTTTACACATGCTGCTGGAGAGAAGTGCGACTCGACGTCAGAGCACTTACTTAAAATTACAGGAAGTCCCTCCTGGTCTGCCCCCTGCTGCTTCAAATGTGTCACCTATTCCCAGCAGACGATTACCAGCCTGATGCCACTGATCCGCCGTCACCTATTCAGTCTTATATTTCTTATCGCTTATGCTGGTCGACCCACTTCATGCCTCAGGCTGTAGACTTGTTGCTGACTCTATGCAGGGATGTTCGGCACAGTGCCAAACTGTAGGCGCATGCTAAAATAACAGGAGACTTTTGATCGGTGCTGATTCAAATTGAAGGTGACTGGCTTACCAGCTCAAACTCAACCGATTGGTGAAGATACGGTACCCTTTGTTTAATCTTTGAGTTTTACATCCCTTTTTGAATGTCTTTGATGCTAATAAGAAAAGTCAGCCGCTTCAACTGAGGCAGGCTAGAAAAGGAAGCAGTAGAGGAAAAACAGGAAGAGAGCGAGCGAGCGAGTACTGTCTAAATGCCGCACCATCCTAATGAGCAGGCTGCTGTGGATCCGGAGCGGGGGTCATCTTTAAAAAAAAGCAGGGTCGGGCCTGGGAGTCATCCTCTGCGTGAGCCGCTGCCTGTACCGCATTGATTGCACTCAAATGGGTTTCAACTCGATGCCATTGATCAGTGCCAGACCGGGTTTTCAGAGCTAGAGAGGAAGACAAAACCGCTGGAGAGATTGCAGCCTCTTTTCTCTCCATCCATTCAACTGTTTTCTAGCCACTGACAACAGATCCCAGAGCTCATGCAGCCCAGGGTGGAGTGGCCTGTGTCCCCTCGGGGGATGTGTGGTGACAGCGACAGTGAGCAAGAATTATGGGTAGCTTTAGAGAACTGGATTGAGGGAGGACAGATAGACAGACTGACAGGCTGTGGAGAAGCAGAGTTGGTAGCCGTCAGATTGATGCTACTTGAGGCGCTAGCGGCTCGCTGACTGCAGATGCATCCGTGGGAAGTGTTGCCACGGGAGACTAACAGTGTGCAAGGGCCATATGTAACAGCACTCAAAGGGCACTGCCAAATTACGCTCCTCTCTCCCGCTTACTCACAGTCATCACGGCCCACGTAAACAGTTGCTCAGAGAGGAAGCGGAATATTACTTTTCAACTTTTTTTTTTTTTAACAAGAGAGCTATTTTCTGTCCGAATGAACAGTCCAACCTTTCACTCCGACTGCATTCCGTGTTTGTGGACACAACATGCTCCTGAACCTCATGCTGAGTGCAGATTTGACTCTTAATGCTCCTCACTCTAAGTCTCTTTGCTGTGTGGCGTAAGAGAATATGCTCACAGGTCAGGATTGTCATTCAGATAAGGTACTAAAAATATATACAGTGTATATATATTTTTTTTTTTGTACTAGCCATTGGCCTGTTTGTATGTTTATTTATTTATTTATTTGGTCATACTCTTTTCCAGTTTACATTTTTACATTTAGCTATCAACTAATGTTCACTTAGGTAATCCTGTTAAATATATTGTAAATGATAATTTATTTTCATATTCTACATGTGATGTCTACATTCAATTGTTGGCATATAAAGTGAATGATATTTTGTATAGTATTTAAATAGTATTCAATTTTGAAAACAGTAATTGGTTGTTGACGCACATGAAAAAAAACAAATTATGGATAATTATATATAAATATATATATATATATATACAATTTGTTATTTATTTTTGTGTTTTGGGGGAGTTCCCCATAAGGAAGAAATGCAAAGTTTTGAACGACATGAGGGTGTGCAAAATGCAAATTATTGCATTTTGAACTAACCCGTTTAAGTCATTTGTAATTTGTTAGCAATGCAATTTTAGCCAGAACAAATTAAACTGAATCTGTCAAATCGCCGTAAATGACAATGTATTGAATTAATGAGGTGAAATATCTATCATCCCTTGCTTTGATTGTAATTGATCTGGCCACTTA